GGACGCTTAACCGACTGCGCCACCCAGGCGCCCCTCTATGCTTTTTTCAAGGCCAGCGATTAATTTTATGACTATTATTCTAAATTCTTGTTCTGTTTTATTTCTTAAATCGTTTTTGATCAATTTGTTAGATGTTGCTACTTCCTGGAGTTTCTTTTGAGGAGAATTCTTCTATTTCGTCATGTTGGGTAGTCCTTGTGGTAGCTCCCAACTGCAGGGCACTTCCTTTGTGCTGTACGGGGAAACTTGTGTTGGTTGGCAGGGCCGTTGTCTGACCTGATGTCTGCCCCCAGCCCACCACTGGGGCCACAGTGAGACTGGTGTGTACCTTATCTTCCCCTCTCCCAGGGGCAGGACTCACTGTGGAGTGGTGTGGCCCCTGTCTGGGCTGCTTGCATACTGCCAGGCTTGTAGAGCTGCTTTGATGGGCTCTGGCCAAGGGCATATTAGAGGGGTGGATCCGCATGGTGCACTGGGGTGGTAGGGGCCGGCTTAGCTAGCTTTGCTGTTGGTGGTCCCCTGTGGGAGGAGCCCTGCAGCACAGGGAGGGAGGCAGGCCCATGGGAGGGATGGATCCACAGAAACACAACATTGGGCATTTGCAGGGTGCAAGCAAGATCGGTGACAGGAACTGGTTTCCTTTGGAATTTCGGCTGGGTGATGGGAGAGGGATATTGCACTTTCCATTGCCTTTCTTCCTCACCACCCCCAGCTCTGTCCTTCTGGGGCTCAACATCTCTCCCTCCTGGCATCCTCTCACCTTCCCTGCTCTCTGAAAGCGAAGCTGTTGACTTTTAACATTCCAGACGTTATGTCCCACTGGCTGTCAGAATTCATGCAGTTTGACCCCTCCACTTTTGCAAGCAAGACTTCGGGGGCTCTGCCTTGCCTGGCGCATTGCCCCTCTAGCACCCTGGCTCTGTCCCACCAGTCCATGTAGCACACACCTCCTCTCTGCCCTTCCTATCCTCTTCTGTGGGCCTCTTGTCTATTCATGGCTCCTGAGAATCCATTCTGTTAGTCTTCCATCAGTTTTCTAGGTTATTTAGGCCGAAGTGGGCAGAATCTAAGTGATCAGCAGGACGAGGTGATCCCAGCATCATCCTACACCGCCATCTTCCCTTTTCTCATGATTTTGTAATATTAATATAAAAATTCATTAAAATTATGTTTTTTCAAAGAATCTCATTCAATTGGTGTGGGTAAGACCTATGAATATGCATTTTAACAAGTATCCCAGGAAATTT